GCAAACAAGGTTCACAGTCAAGCTTTTGTCATTCATTTTAATAAAATAGTTTTGAACCAGCCCTGAGTAAATACACTGCAAATAATCTGGGACTTGCCAATATTTAAAATCTTGTTTTTTTAGACACGATAGATAATTTGGCTTGTTTTAGAAGTTATTTACTCATTTATAATCGTTGATTTTACAGTACAATCTTAAAATGAGCATTAAAAATCTTATTTCAAGATTTATGAAGTAAAACTTACTTGCTGCGTGGACAGATAATTTCACTAGTTTTAGGTCATTTCCTTCTCAAATTTAATGTTTATATCTTGTATTTGGCCTGTGTGTGGTCAGTAAATCTTACATAAGTTAGGCCTTACAGTTAAAAAAATATGTAAAATGTGTGTTGACAGTTCGTCTGCTCCTCCTGCTGCCAGAAATAATGACTTTAAATCTGGAAGGTGCTTGTGTCTCTGTTAACGTAACACCGTCAAATGAGAGCATATCGACCAACCGGAGACTACAACTCTACTGATAATCAGAACCAGCTGATGACACAAACAAAACAATACTTGAAATGTTAAAACGTTTCTTACCGTCCATGGAAACTGTCCCCGTGTCACGTTGTCTCATGTGTGTCTCCAAGACTGATGCAGTTTAAGGCCCAGTGAGGATTTAAAGATTGTTAATGTTGTTCTGCTCTCATCCAAGGTAGTAGAGGAGCTTCTGTCAAAGAGCGGAGCCATCGGCCAGGAGGCTGCCAAGGCCATAGCAGATGCTGCCATGTTGGAGGTGGCGAGCACAAATGTGCCCCACATGGTAACAGAACTCACCAACACTGAACCGTTCAAATAAATTCCCCCAGTAGCAGCAAAGTAACGCAGTCATTTTATCGTTCCAGGCCCCAGATGATTTCTATGAAGGAATTACATTTGAGCATTTTGAACAGGTTTGTCCCTTCTCCATCTTCCACTCCTTAAATAAAATCTGAATATAATTAGTCGCTTACATATAACTGCGTTTTGCTATCTGCCCGCAGATTTTAAAAGGCCTGGAAATGGAGTCGAGGATGCACATTCGCTTTTTGGATGTGGACACGACGACAATGCGCTGTGGGAAATCAACCTCTTGAAAGAGCTGTTTTTGTAAAGAAATGTTTATGTTGCTGCTGTTTTTAGCAGAACCTCACCAGTCCTTAAAAGGAATGAAACCAAATCTCTTTTGATATGCACTAATATATTTTTAGACGAGAGGGAACTAATTCTAGACTGAACACTATAATGTAAGTACATTTTTATATGAATTATTACGACTGTATGCTGCTCGTGCAATTGAAGACTTGACTAGACGCTGTCAGTTTCTTTCTATAGTTCTTAAGCTTAAAAAAAAAAAATCAGTTTCAGAATGTTGTCTGCTCAGTTTTCAATGTTTGTGATGCTAAAAGCAGCTGGTGCCACATATTTCAAACAGATTCATTTCCCGACACCTCTTACTTCTAATGTAACCTCCAACTATCACTGTGTTCTCCAGTTTTTCTACAAATTCCCAGCATGCAATATGAAGGATTCTTTGTGCTTCGGTGGAAAGGTTCACATGTTTGATGCAGTCGGTCATGCTCAGTGGCTACTCTGGCACTCATGGGTCGTCTATCATGGCTAACATCCAAAAGCACAAGACTGCATGCGCATACCATTCCTCTGCAGCTCCAGAATAGTTCCACATTTCATTTGTGTGTAACCAGCCACTGCTGCTCCGCCATGAAGATCCACTATTATTTGAACACTAGCAAATCAATCAGACACTTTAGTAACTTTTCACTGAATTACTTAAATGAACAAAATAAATGTGAGACATAAAACAAATGCATGTGTAAGATTTTTTTTTTTAAAGGACACTACTTAAAAAATGCATTCAGAAGAATTCAGAAGAAACATTTTCATGGCTGTGATTGAATGAATTGAATCCAGGAATCTAAAACAGAAATAATTTACAGTAATGGTTCACAAGGCTGTGCAACATCTGGGCAGCTGAATTCAACACTGTAAATTACAAATACCTATACAGCAGTTACAGATTCCAAAGCCTTGATCAGCATGATGAAAGGAAAGTAATTAAATAAAAGGATACAGTTTGGAGAATCAAACTGGTGAATGTTTCCACTGTCCTTTCACTTGCACAGTGAGTCCATTTGCAGTTTGCACAACCGAGCATCAGCGTGACGAATGGGAAGCGGACAGCCTGTCGTACGGCACCGCCAGGCTGATGTTGTAGTTGTAGCCGTGTGACTCGGTGTAGTCGGACCTGCAGATGGGCAGGATGTGGTCCTGTGACAGCGAGTCCTCGGAGAAGTCGTAGTGGCAGATCACGCCTCTGTGTCTGAAGTATAAAAAACGGTTATATCAGTAACAACAGCAGAGATCTTGATTATTTAACTTTCTAGAAAGTTTAAGCATGGAAAAGACAAATTACATTAATAGTGATGAGAGATGATGCACTGCAATGTAAAGGTCACATGTGGTGAACAGACATTCTATTGTGTTCTTTAAAACTTGGAGGTGTAAAAAAAAGTCTACCACACCTATTTACTTCTCTCCTGCTGTCTGTGCTCACATACACTGCATCAGAGTAAAGCCAAATTCACAATAAAGCTTCTTATTTACATATTTTTCTGCTGCTAGTGTGAGATAGTCACTGAAACCCAGCCACTGCAGCTCTGCACACCTAAAATACTGGTTTTACAACCTCAGCACTGTCCAACAAAGTCACCACTCGTTATTTAAAAGCAACAGCTGTGCTACGTATTTGGCCGTATTCGTCAAATGCTTGCAAAGACAGAAAGTCAGAAGCTGTAGAAAGTCCTGGTCTCGCACTCGAAATGACATGCATGTTGTGCGATCACAGATGCAAAGAGAGTCTTCTTTCTGAAGGAGGCGTGAGCAGCAGCACCTCAGCTGCATTTAAAGCTCTGGACACTGAATCTGTCCATTAAGAACAGGACTATAATAGTGACAGTGAAGCGGGCCACCTTTGTGTATTTTGAGCTGAAAAATTGAGAGAAGCGTTCTGGAGAAATGAAACTTTGATTAATTTGCTAAAAAAAAAATGGGCACAATATGGGGCCTTTAAAAGAAGATTTCAACTTATTTGCAGCAGATGGTTTGTTCAGAGTCTGCTACAGCTCCAAAGTTGTTAAAATCCACCTACCAGCACCCCAAAACATCACTAATACCACATTACATTGAATTGTGTTTTATAGCCTGTATCAAAACCACATGGCAAACACTGTTGACTAAATGAAGTCACGTTGGTTTTTCTACAGATAAAACTAACAAGACATAATGTGCAGATGTTGTTACCTTTTGCCACACTACCTGTTTCTAGTCATTTCTAAACAAATCCAAAAAGGCTGCTTTTTACAGACATGAAAGTAGTATCAGCCGTTTCCTAATGTAAACTTAAGACTCTTAAAAGGTAGAAGTTGAAAGGTGCAGATGAGTGGTGAAGTTCACGGAGTATTTCTGACTCCTATCAACTTGTGGGAGGTGGACGTGCAGAAGGTTAAAAAAAGAAAAAAGAAGTGTGGGAGGAGGATCGTGACCTGCGATGAGCTGTAAGGTCATCGTCTGTGATGCAGGCGCCCCGCGGCGACTTGTCATCGGGGATGTTGGCTGTTACCAGGGTGCTGGTGTTGAAGCGAACGTGTCTTACAGGATGCCTGCAGAAACGAAAAACAACACCTACAGTATTAAATATAGAAATCACAATATTGCGTATGTGTTGCTTTTACTCGCTCTACTACATCGAAAAAGTCACCAATTCAGGGTCTTTTTTTTTTAAATCAGTGAACTGCATAGAGCTGTATAAATTGACATTTTTACTTAATTAGAACCTGGAGGTGTGGCGCTCAACTGATTCCAAATTACAGCCTAAATGCATCTGCTAACACAAATCAGGAGGAACACGTCTACGAAGCCATGGAATAAACGTATTCACAGCTTAATTAACTCGGATGTCAAACGTGTAGCAACAACAGATGTGTCATCTTTGAAAACCACATTTATCCTGTGACACTTTGTAAATCTCTTGAGGCAGAAGTCCCACCTGTTGTGCATCTCCCACAGCTTGGCTCCCATCCTCATCTCCCAAACGCACACCAAGCCCTCGCCTCCGCCGCTCACGATCTTCCAGTCGTCCGCCTGCACCGAGGTGACGCCCAGGTGGTGGGCGTACAGGGACGCCACGGAGGAGCCGGCTCTGAGGTCAAACACCCGGACCCTGAGGAAGAGAAACTGTGCTGTTTACCTTGTCATGAAACTGCACTTAAGTAGTCAAGAAACATTTGTTTAAAGTTGTTGTAATGCAACAGATTACACTGGCTTTTATTTAGACATGCAGCACGTTAAAGTGTTTGTGTGAGACTCCTGACTGAGTACAATAGAATCAGTCACTTCCAGTGAAGCATTTGGTCATTTTGAATTTCACTTCCTGCTAACAGAGGCGGAGATTTAAAACCAAGACTGCACAAGAGAGAACAGTTTGTGAAAGGGTGCATTCATTTACAGACAAAGGACACTATTCTCACTTTTTTTTTTGAAGGAAGCGCAGCAAGAGCAGCACGAGAAACTTTCCAACAGCATCCAGCCAAGAGCCCAAAGACAAATACAAACCGAAGCAGATGTGCTATTGCAAACTTAAGTTCCAGCCTTATTTGGCCGCGAATGTAGCCACGTATCTCATTATTTCAATCACCAAACTCAGATTACAAACACTTCTAGTGGGGGAAAAAAAAACCCAATAGTAATAATTAAAAACATGAAACACAGATAGAAACCCAAATTAAATAAATGTGCAACAGATGCTACGTTAGGGAGGCTTACAATGATCAATTATGGTACAAAAAGAGAATAAAATGATAGAATTTAGAGCAAACCAAGGAGCTGAAAATAACATTTAAGCCTGAAATAAGTGATTAACAGATGCAAAAGTGCAGATGGAAAGAAAGTGTTGGAATTACTGCAAAAAGACTGAAAATAGATTCAAATTAAAATGATAAATGTATCAATGCTTTGTCAGAATATACCTCTATAGTGTGCATTATTACATGCAGCAAATATATGATGAATAAACAATTCAAACAACCATCATCTGCTTATAATCCTGCTGTGCATATCTCAAAGCAAAGAAAACGATTTTCCTGATCTCATTGAAAACGCTACTGAAGCAGAAAACCTCTTAACCTGAATTGCCACTTTAACAAAAACTGATTTAAATGCATTTTGTGCTTTTAGATTCAATGTTCTTATTATTTTTTTACCCACATTTTTTACTTTACTAAACATTCTGATTTGTATATTTTGCTTTCTAACCCTTTCAAAGAGCATCTCATTAATTCTGCTTTGAAATAAGTGTTTTTTTTTAAAAGAAGCTTTTATGATATCATGATAATTATTGTGATTATTATTCATTTTAAAGTGCTAGTCTTTATGGTGAATAAAAGGAAATAGGAGCTGATTTTTTGCTTGGTGGGTTTCATCAGCAACAGAGGCCCAGGGGACCTGCAGCTCCATCTGTTGTCATTGTGGCTTTATTGCAGCTGAAAGCATCCAGGACATGACTCCATCCAGGCACAACCTTCTTCCAAGACTTCATTACCATAATCAAATTCACTTTGGGGACTCAGACAGATTTCATTTCCACTTCCAAAACTTTTTAAAAGAATCAGGCCTAAATGGTTAAATGGGCACTGCGGGCTTGTTGTGTGCAGTTAGTTTTGCCCGTTTAGTGGCATTACGTGATGGAAGCACACGTTTAAACAATGAGGAGCGAGCATTACTGGCAGACCGCAGGGAACCATAAATCTCGTGCTGGAGGCGGCTCCGTCTTCAGTGAACTGTCACTGGCCAGACTCTTCTTCATTAATCAAGAGGAGCTCGGCCTAATAAGAGAAGTGTGGGAGAGGCTCAGATAACTCCCCAACAGCTATTTTCCTCGAGCTAGAGTAAGACATTAATCATTAGACCCTGAGGATGATGTCTGAGTCAGTTTTGCAGTTTAACTTGAGTTGGATTTTCTATACAAATATATACCTTCGAGACTGAGGAGAACAAATTATCGTGCAGTTTTACAACGACTGCAGCCTGTGTGTTAAGATCTAGTCTTTCTATTCCCAGATCAGCTCTTCTTCCCTTTTACATCAAATAAATTGCAAGACAAAGGTTGTGTTGTCTGCGTAATGCTATCATGTCAGGTCTGAATATGAATGAACTTGTGTAATAACCCACATATCGTGCAACTAAATACGACAGAAAGTGTCATTAGTGGAGTCCAATAGGCAATTATGCGTTTTAGAAAACAGTACGTAAGAAAGCAGAAATAACTTAGAAATGACATTTTTTAATGTGAAGTGCTGTTGTTGATGTCTAATAGTCTTGGTAGGAACAGCAGCTTGCTTCATTCTTTCAGAAAGACTGATCACAGAAGAAAGTTAGAGATACGACTTCAGGACATTGAGCTGTTAGAAATTAAGTGTAATAGCATTTGTGTTTGGCAGTGATAGTAACGTTACATGCTACAGGTATTTACTCATTAGCCAAGTATTTGTCAAAGTTCAACTTTTGACCTGATGGTCGAGTTCCAAGTTATTAAAACATGCAAAACATGAAAGTCTAAAGTAACAAATTTACCTAGAAAGCAATGTAATGTTAGATATTTTGTTCAAAAACAGAAATTTCAACTTTGTTTTGAAAAAATAAGGGATTACAAAAGTAGGTAAGATGCATCCTTAATGGTGTTAAATGCACACATCATGTTTTTGTTAGTTCAGTAGCTGCTAACCAGCTAACCCCAGCCCATCCTGTCTCATGTTTCTCTACCTGCAAGGTGAGCAGTCTTCTGGGTCTTCTATGTTATTTGGCTGATTTTTCATTGAGTCCACCATCTTGGACTGGAACGGCAGTCTACTATCTAATCACAGCGAACTTGATGTTCTTCTCTGCAGCCTTGTTGAGCTTCCTGCAGCAGCACATGAAGCATTTTTCCACCTGCTGCAGGTTCTGGTTGGGTTTACCATCCTTTTCCCAATGGATCTCTCCATTGAGAGAGATTGAGAGAGCAAAACAAGGACTACTGGGGAAAGCTCCAGTCCAAGATGGTGGATTTGGAGTCTGGAGGATGAGAGACTCACTGGGGAGGAAGCTGAATGACACTGGGGATCACCACAACGTCAACCTACAATATTTGTCGCACCTGAAGTCCGATCCATCCAATAAATCTCAAAGATATCTTACAGTATAGGTGATGTGTTACTGCTGATAAATGTACAAAATTACTCGGATTCATTTACTGGAAACCTCAAATGTTTGGACTAAATTTCATAAAGAAAACTCTATTAGTAGTTAAGATACCACCAAGGTGGAGGAATGACCAAACTACACACTGGTATTACAGTTCATAGAGCCATCCTGCAACAAAAGAACAAAAAAAACAATCTTGTAGTAAGTTCTTAAAGTTAAGTCCAATCCAAGATGTCCGCAAAGTGGTCTCAAGGCCATTCTGCATAATCACAAGCAGCTACAGGTATGATGCTCATTATTTCATCCCTTTTTCATGCTGTATCCAACTCTGCTCTTTGCCCATATCGCTCCCGTTTACACATAACGTGGCGTCTTTCCCGACAGCCCTTATCTGGACCCCTCATTTGCTCCTTGGATCTCGCGAAAAACAGAGGGACAAAACTCATTTGGACAAAAAAGAAGGGATGCATTAGGCATTGGCCTTAAGCCACCCTGTCGAGGGGCCAAGATTTGCCGACTGTCCCTCAGCCTCCCTCCCCATTTCCATTTGTCCTCGACTGTGTGCTGCATCAGCTGGGGCCAAAGTGGAAGAGCCAAGCTGGTGTGTGCCCCTCTCTGGACCGAATCTGATCAGAAGGCAAAGACCGAGAGTAAAGCACTGAATTCTTCTTTCAAAAATTGCTTTTGAAATATTTCGACCACAATAAAACAAAGTGGAATCCTTCACAAAGCATCCTTAACAGAGCATTTTTTTTTTTTTTTGTCTTTGTACGAGTGCTAGAAGTCAGAACGAGTAAGAAGATGGGAAAACAACAAAACAGAACCTAAACAATATGATGTGGTCTGTCTTTCGCTGTAAGCCAACTACTTAACAGCCAGATGGATTCGGTGCTGAATAGAAACAGCGGGGGCAGCTTTGGACGAAGACACGCCAGGGATTTTTCCTTTCCTGCCAGCTCATGCACCGCAGCATCCGCTAACAAGTGCAGAATAGATGAGAATGGCTCTTTTATGTGTCTTTTCCTCAACTGGAGAGCCAGGTTAGCAATGTGGCAAGTGTGTGCACGTGCATGGATGCCGATGTGTGTGTGTGTGTGTGTGTGTGTGTTGCCGGATGGAATCAAGGAAGCCAGGTTTTTCTTCCTTTATAACATCCTCCAGGTTATGGAGGAGACAGAGAAAGAGGAGCAACATTTCTATTTAAGACAAAGAACAAAACATCTCTCTCAAAAGTAATTCAATGCCTGTCTCTCTCCTTTTTTTCACCGAGCTTTCGAGAAGCTTTGTTTTTCAAGGCAACAGTTTGTCTGTGAAGTGTGAATAATGCACAAATTAAATAGAGCCTTGTCTTCTCACACATTTTCTAAACACCTGTTCTCCACTTGAAGTAGCCTCAGCTTCTCAGCCTCCATCATCAGGTGTTTAACACACACACACACACACTCCGTTTAGCTGAAGTTCTTGCCTCAGTTTTCTGTCCTCGTACACTCTTTGTGTACTTTCAATCTGCATCAAAGTGTTTGTTTTTTGTTTTTTTTTGTCCTACCTTCTGTCTTTGTTTCCACACACCAACAGATGAGGGGGGCTGTCTCTCAGGTTGATGCAAGTGAAATCTCCCGGAGAGTTGCCGACACAAACCGTCGGTTTGCTCGTCTCCAGGCTGTACACGTGGATCTGGAAGTCAAGAACACACATCGGCATTTTGAGACATTAAAGTCGACCTCAAAGTCAAAATTCATAAGCTTCAACAATCGGTGGAATGTGCAGCTCTTTTTAGTTACTGTAAGACAAAGCAGCTAAAATAATCCTAAATGTACAACCAACAAGTTTTAGGGGCCAAACAGTTAAGCTGCTGAAAACGAGGCAGATGGGAAAAAGAAAACTTTTAACACAGGCAAGAAAGCCTGAATCACTAAAGAACGCGCTGTCAAGCAGAAGTTCATGTCTGGACTGTAGAATTAAAAGCTGTGACAAAGAATCTACAATCAAATGTTAAAAACAATGATTTTATGTAACAATGTAAAGTGAATGCAACTTTTCTAGTTATATCTTAACTCCTTGAAGTGACTGTAATTCATCCACTGTTGGTCAGATACAGGTATAAAGACTGAAGATTGTTCAAATTTAGCTTTTACCTCATATATACCAAGAACCCCCATTAAATCCCGTTCACTGGTGTTAACCTAAAGAGCTGCTAAACTACCTTTTGCTGTTATTTAACAACGAAAATAAAGATCTTTTCTCTTTAGCATCCCACTTCAATCATTTATTTAATCCTTTAAAATTCACCTTTGTGTATCAAAGTTATTTTTTTAAACATCTTTGCCATTAAAAGAAATCCCTTCTTGCCTTAAAATGGCTACGGTGTAACTCTATACTATTGCTTCTCTAGATTTTAAGGATCTATGGAGTCCCCACCTCTCTCTCCACTCACCTCTTCCCACTCGCTTAAGCTCAAGCACACCAGCTCACCCATGCTTCTGCAAAACTAGTCGACACTACTCAATGGGAAGTTGGGACATTGCAGCTACTCAGCCATACGTTTGAACTAGAAAATGATTCTGAAGAGGAATAATGATGCAGAAAACCCCACCCTGCAAGTTCACACGATTTCTTCATTAGGTTTGTGACATATGAAATCCCTGAAGTATGAATCCATGTTTTTGAGAAGGTAGAGTTTTATCCAGCATATTCAAAAAAAAAAAAAAAATAAATCACGTGGGCATATTATCAAGGTACAATCATGTTCATCAGAGGGGAGTGTTTAAATCACTCAAATCAGTGCTCACCTTTAATTACAACTCTCCAGTTACAAGCTGGACCACAGACAGAAGACGCATCAAACCGCTTAAATCCAACAGATGGATATTCAAACCAATCCTGGTGCATTTCATCTTGGCTTGTCTCAGTTCATTGCACAACATAGTGCTGCACGTCCAGACATAACTATTAATAATACTGGATATTAGGCAGAAAAATACTGCAGTCAAGTACTGTACAACAGATAAATGGAACTATTATTTCCTTCCAGTGAGTTAAAAGCACAGCAGAAACTAAAGCACTCAAACTGGGAAAACAACAGCCTCGAGGCAAACTTCAATTACGGCCGGGGATGCGTTGCCTTTGGCTCGATGGCCGCCGTAAACTTTCTTCATAAAAAGTACAATGATGTCATCTGGAGCTGGCCTAATTGGTCAATTAGCGGCTGGTGTTTTCTCATCCAAACGAGGCAGGACAAACAGGATAACCGCCAGGCAAAATTGTCTTTGAATAATTAAATCGACAAAGAAATTAAAGCGAGGAGGGAGGGAGGGAGAGAAAGAGCCAAAAGGTAGGATGGAATAGAGAAAAGAGAGAGAGAGAAAGACGGATGGAGAGACAGCAGCAAAGATAAAGAAGTTTAAAGGAAGAGAGGGGGGAAAAAAAGAGGCATGATGTAAGCCTTGAGGAGGCGCCAACAGTTTTTGTGTGTCCCTTATTTGGGCCAAGCAGAGCTTTAATTGTGCACCACCTCGGGGCACAGCCCAAATCACACCGGACTTTGAAATGACAGCTTGATAGGATTTGGACAGCAGAAGAGAGGGGGGACGACGAACTGAGGAAGAAGGAAGGGGAGAGTGGAGGAGGGAGACGAGGAAACGAGGTTCAGCCTGCTGTTCTCAATGAATCACTGCAGATTCGGGAAGATATTTTCATTAAATATCTGCCCACTAAAATGAAGAAGCGTCGCCGAGGGAGGCAAAAGGAGCCGTTTTGCGATAATACTGCGGACTGTTAGGAGAGAGCAGCGGCGTGTTTTGGGGGAAGAATAACCGTGAGCATGACTGTAGAGGAGCTGTTAGGTTAATGCACTCGCTGGAGCTCCAGAGAGGCTTGCAAACAAAAGAAACCCTAATGGTGGCTTGTACTGGGGAGGGGGGGGTGTTAATGTAATTACTCTCCGTGCTTTTAGAAAGATGAAAAATGTAATAATTATCACTGCACCTTAGAGAAAACCTTTAATGTCGCCTGCATTGTTGAGCCGCATTTGGCAGAATTTGGTTTGGCCTTTAATGAATCTTAAATCTCATATCATAGAGCAGGAGCGGGAAATCGTGTGCCATGGAGGGCCAACTATCTGCAGGCTTTCACTCCAACAAAACAAGCCACCAGCTGACTTCACTGATGGATGCTCTGTGAGGTAGAGGGGGAGGAACTCGCCACTGAAGTTACCTGCTGAGATGAGTGGTTCTACTGGAAACATGCAGACTGCTGGCTCCCCTACATGCACCACCATTCCCCTGTCCATCCCCGTCTTGCACAAACACCCACATCTAAAATAAATATGGACTCAGAGCGACGTTTGGTTTAGACACCATGTGGACAAACAGAGATTTGCACATTGGACCAGATGTATGATAATTGTAGGTTTTGTGGTTTCATGGCAATCTGTGTTTCCAAATCATCCCACTGGACGCAGCAGAATCTGGAACTTGCACCATACACAGAAGACAATGCTCAAGTCCTGAAGAGCACTTTCTAATGATTGTACTTCATGTTTCTTTTTGAGGCACACAACCCCTATTTTATTTGAGCTGCTGTATAGAGGGTTGCATGCAGTCGAGTTGGACTTCTCATTTTGCACATGAATGAAAAAACTGAGCAGTGCTTTGTGGTTGTGTCCAAACATACTAAAAAACAAAGAGCAGAAACCAATCGAAGCAGCTGCCCCACATAATAGTTTTTCCTCAATAGCCCCGGGAACATCTTGAAGGTGCAAATAAGTACATAAGAGTGTTGCAGACTGGACAGGGGGCATTTGCCTTGTAGGGTAACGGTCACATAGTGGTTGGTTGGTTCCTTAAACTCATCCTGCTATTAAGAAAGTCAATTAAATCCATTCTTTATAACACTGGGGAGTAGGTATTTGCTGTTCCAACATGTGGCGTCTCTAGAACAGAACGGACGCCATGAAACAACCAAGAATGCATCACACTGGAAATGAAAATGGGCAGATCAAGTATGGGGTCATAGATCAGAAATCACAAGTCAACCACAAGTGTGTCCACAATTCTACATTTGCGACATCTAGAGATGTCATCGACTTGTGGATTGTTGCCCCACTCGTCCGGCGGGGCTTGGTGAAACTGGTGGACGTTTTAGGGGACAGGATTCAGCCATCATACACGTCAATCCAGAGTTTTCTGAAATAAATTCTCAGACAACAAATGCATCTATGACTACACCCTGTTCTGACCTGCCAGCATCCAGCAAACAGTCTATGTCTGTCTTTCCTTTGGCATTATGTCACTTGAATAGAGCTGCATTTTAAGGTGGCCTTTTATATTCACTGGTCAAATGAGTGTCTGTGTACTGGTCCCGCTATCTGATCATTGTCTGACTGGGGTGTGGAATGACTCAGTGATTGAGAATTTGTCACCAGTTAAACGTCGAATCGGTCATGGCAGATGTCCGCCTTGGCCTCAGTCTGCTGTTTCTTTCCGTTAAAGAGGAGTTTGTTCTTTCCACTGTTGTCAAAGTGCTAGCTCAAAGGTAACCTTTTGGAAACGTTTACCAGTCTGTACAGTAAATTTATGAATCAGTCTGGACGACAATCTCGAAACGACTACAACTAGAAAACAACGGAAGAAAATGTAGAAAGAAAGATGTCTTGACAGATATAATAATGTGGAACCGTAAAGGTGTTCTTGGGGTTTCTTGAGCATTATATAAGAATTAGGTTTGATGCAAATAAGTTACACTGCACTCCTGTTGTTGTTAGACATTATTCTAAGGTTTGGGGTTTCTTTCTTTTTCATTTTGTGTGATTCCTTTTCTATTTTTTTTTGCCCTAATGGTCTGGTGGCATGTCTGATATAAATCAATAAGTGCCTTGAGACATCATATATTGGCACTACATAAATAAAACGGAAATAACAGGAGATCTTTCACTGTTTCTCCGAGGCAGAAATGACAATTTGCGCATTGCATTTATGCTTTTTTTCACTGTAGGTCTCTGACAGGGTGATGGCCAGAAGGCACCACCTGACGTGGTTTTGCAAGGTAAATTTTTATCGACACTCTCCAATCTCTGTTGTGCAGGTCTTTGTGAGAAGCGACAAGTTCAAAGCTTAAATGTCAAATTTAACTTCAGCACGTGTTTTTTTAATTTTTTTATTCAAATTATGCTCTCATAGGAATTGGCAAAAACAAGAAATGCAAGCTAGTTCACGCCATTGTGCACTCACAAATGAGCTTTTACTAAGTTATCTGAATAACACTGCTAAGCAAAAACCCAAAAAGTTGTTTTAGATCAGTCCATGAGGTCACAGACTAACATTTTGACAGTATTTCCACCCATACTGAAGCAATGAAACTGATATCTAACATGCCATTTTCATGTTTTTTAGCATTTAGGAATCTCATCTCCACCTGTAGGCCTTGACTCATTCTGCAACCTCTGCTTTATTCACCTAATATTCATTTACACATGTGACTAAAACCTGAGCTCTGCTGTAGGGGGTTGCTTTAGGACCGTCTAGGATTCTCCTGAGTTAATCATCCTGATGCCTACCCTGCTCTGTGATAACAACTCTATCCACGTTCCTACTGTCCGTCAATACATCTATAAAGCCTATAAAGCACTCAGCCTTGCTTCCATCCACCCAACCAGCCCTTTGAACTGTAGGCAATGA